GTTGGGTGTTTTTTGCTTCTTCGTATTTCAAATCTTTGACTTGATTCTTGGGATCCTCTAGTCTGCTGTTGGATCTCTGTATATTATTCTTTATTTCAGTCAGTGTATGCTTAATTTATGATTGGTCCTTTTTCATATCCTTGAGGGTCTCACTAATTTTCTTGGAGGTTTCTAGAAGATTCTTGAGTAACCTTATAACCATGCTTTTGAACTCTATATCCAGTATTTTGCTTTCATCCATTTCTTTCATTTGTGACTTGTTTCTTTGTCTCCGTATTTTGGCTGCTTCCCTATGTTTGTTTCTATGTACTGGTAGCTGCTAAGTCTCCTTGAGTTGATAGAGTGGCCTTGAGTTCATAGAGTGGCCTGTAGGACATCCCCTGAGGGCTCCGCAGTCTGTGAGAGGGGGCAGGGTGGGCTGAGGGACCCCCACCCCCAGTGCACGAATTTTGTGCACCGGGCCTCTAGTCTGTAATAAGTATACAGAAAAAGCCAAATATAAAACATTTTTTAAATAGAGGTCCCCATAAAATTATTAGAGGCAAATTGTAACAAAAAGAAAGCTAAAAGTTTAATTTAAATATAAAACAAAATATACTTTAAGGCAAAAAGAATGGGACAGAGAGTGATATTCCTTTTTTTAAAAAAATATATTTTATTGATTTTTTACAGAGAGGAAGGGAGAGGGATAGAGAGTTAGAAACATCGATGAGAGAGAAACATTGATCAGCTGCCTCCTGTATACCCCCCACTGGGGATGTGCCTGCAACCAAGGTACACACCCTTGACTAGAATTGAACCCGGGACCCTTGAGTCCACAGGCCGACCCTCTATCCACTGAGCCAAACCAGTCAGAGAGTGATATTTCTTTATAATTTTTAAATTATTTATTGATTTGGGAGAGAGATAAGTAGACAGATAGAGAAAGAGATTTGTTGTTCCACTTATTTATGCATTCATGGGTTAATTCTTGTATGTGCTTTGACCTGGGACAAACTACAACCTTGGCATATCAGAACAATGCTCTACCTGGTCAGAGCAATATTTCATATTGATCACCAATAAAACCCAACAAGTATAATGACTATGTGCACCAAACAAAAAGCATTGGAATAGATAAACCAAACATATTGTAATTACAAGAAAAAATTGACCAAAACTGAGTTAGAAAAGAGCCTTCTCTCAGAAATCTGTTGCAATAACTTACATGTTTCACTCCGAAACCATTAACCTATTTGAGTTCTTTTGCCAATTCCATTTAATTATCTTCATAGTAACATTCCTTGGCCACTCTTTCCCTGCACTCTTTCCAAATGTCTTATCACAACTCACATTTTAGGGCCTGTTTTTGGGTGCCTTCCAAGTTGCATAGTCAAAAGAACTCTTAGCTTTGTGATTTCTGAATGGAGCTGATAAGGTTATTTGTTAAAATGCTAATGGCAGGGTATGTAGATATTTTTTGTCTGAAGGCAACACTCTTTTCTCTCACCAATATGCCAGCTAATCCTCGAGTGGGACTCTAGGATTTCATGGGGCTCATAGTTCCTTGTAACCTTACTGGTCATCTCATAACCATTTCAGACCAAGACAGGCAGCTCAGCATCCTGGGTATGGGACAGCCACTCACTGTTTACCTTCAAGCAAGCCATGTAACTTCTTCAGGTCTCCATGAACTTGCCTTTGAAACAAGGAAGCAAAGCTAGAATAAACAGCCGTTAAAGTTCTTTCTTCCTCTAAAATTTTATTTCTTTACTAGAGGCCTGGTGCACGAATTCGTGCATGGGTGGTGTCCGGCTGGCCCACCCTGATCCAGGCCAATCAGGCTGGGCCGGCCGGGGGGAGGGGCTGTGGGCGGTTGGCTAGCCAGTCCTGCCCCCTGGTTGAACTCCCGGTTGAACTCCTGGTTGAGGGGACAATTTGCATATCAGCCTTTTATTATATAAGATTGCATGATTTCTATTCATATTTTTATGCCCATTCTTTTTTTTAAATATATTTTTATTGATTTTTTTTACAGAGAGGAAGGGTGAGGGATAGAGAGTTAGAAACATCGATGAGAGAGAAATATCCATCAGCTGCCTCCTGCGCACCCCCTACTGGGGATGTGCCCGCAACCAAGGTACATGTCCTTGACCGGAATTGAACCTGGGACCCTTCAGTCCGCAGGCGGATGCTCTATCCACTGAGCCAAACCGGTTAGGACCCATTCTTTGTTTTTTTAATGAGTGTCTGTGGTCTATTTTATGGAATGTGAAAATGGACTTTCACCCTCTGACACTTGCCTGTCTTGGGAAGAAAAGAATAACATTGAAAATGTTTGAGGGGTGGCGCTTGTGCAGGTGAAGGAGGGGCACCTGCACCCCTGAGTCTCTCCACTCCTTCTGGTTGTCTCTTGTCTGTAGGTGCCAACAATGCCCAGTCCCCGGTTGGTGCCGAGCGAATGTCTCTGGAGTAAGTGACTGGGCTCTCTCATTATAAACGTGGCTTCTTCCTTGTTTAGCTGCGTTGCAGGCACTAAAGAGAAAGAAGAGGTTGGAGAAGCAGCTCTCACAGATCGACGGCACCCTGTCCACTGTCGAGTTCCAGCGAGAGGCCCTGGAGAACGCGCACACCAACACCGAGGTGCTGAGGAGCATGGGCCTGGCGGCCAAGGCCATGAGAGCGGCCCATGAGAACATGTGAGTGCCCCTCCCTCCGCGTCCTAAGTGCCCCCAGTGTCGGGAGAGCCAGATGATGAGTTTGGCAGGAATGGCCTGTCCTGTTGAGGCTCTTTGACATGTCAGAATGGAATGGTCCTTCAGAGAAAGACTAGAAGTTCCCGTGGTAGAAAACAAAACAAAACAAAACAAAACTCCATGACAACACGAAGGACCTTCATTCTGTCCATTGCATTTCCCAGTCGCCTCACTATTGTCTGACACTCTGCCTGTAACTCTTCATCAGATAAATCACAGAGGCTTACACGTCAGCATCTTGAGCTGTTGGATACAGGACAGTGGTTGTCACCTGGTGGCATTCCAGATCTCCGGGAAAGCGGCTGACGAGAACGCAGGTGCCCAGGCTCCTGGAAGCGGGCAGCCGGGCCTGCTGTTCTGAGCAGGTTCACGCAGTGACTGACACTAACTGACATATGAGAGTCATAGCTATGGGCCTGGGTTTGGGGCTCAGACTTTCGGAGTGAGGGTCCCAGTTCTCCTGCTGACTGTCCCGGGGCAAGTTACTTCGCCTCCCCTGTATTCCGCTTCCTCGCCTGTAAGTTGGGGACAATACTACTGCTTATGGTTATTGTGAGAGTCAATAAGATACCAGATGTCATGCACTTAGTCCCTGGTACAAAGGAAGCCATCAGTAATCAACGTTCAGTGTGGTGGTGGGGCCAGCGACAGTTTGCTGTACGTCACACTGGGAAGTCAGTGCCAGGGACCTGACCCTTTTCTGAGAGGAGATGTGACCGTGAGGTCTGAGCCACCACATGTGAGAGCAGGGAGCACCGGGCGATGCAGCCGTGCCCACGGGGCCATCGATTTGACGGCTTCAGCAAGGCCATCCCACTCGCTGCCGGTCTGAACCTGCGGCTGCTGCTAACCGGTGCCAACGTGCACCACACGCAGGGGGCTCGGCAGCCTCACCCTCTGTGCTCGACCCTGCACCGCACCTCCCACACTCCCTTTAAGACATAAAGTCCTTACATATTTGTTACAAAAAGAATTGGGAATGAGGGGCGGTAGCAGAACGGTAAGTGTTCTTTTTACTTACTACATGGAAATATGTCAGAATACTCAGCATTTTCCACGAGGGGAGTCTGAGAAACTGTCAAAAGGTTTATCCCCCTGGGAATCAAATCCCAGTGAGGAGCCCACGTTCCTGGTATCCAGTCAGTTCAGCCTCGCTTCAGAGCTGGAGGGGCGACTCGGAGACAGGTCCTAGAGGCGCAGTCGGAGCCTGGCACCGGGCCCTGGCCGCTCAGGTCGGTGGTTGGGGCCAGGGGCTCAGGGGGGGCCGTGGCGCTGCACCCTGGGCTGCAGGGGGCGTTCTGCTGAGGGCTTCCCAGCCTGCGCTGCCCTCCCTGTGACTCCCAGGGCAGCCAGGCCTGTGCTGCCCTCTGGGGTCAGGATGGCAGAGCTGCCAGGCGTCTGGCAAACGGCCTCTTGTCTCAGAGCTCGGCCTGAGGGCTGCTAGGAGGTGGGGCTGCTGAGAGCTGCCGGGTCTCAGTCATGTGGGCCTGGGGTCCCCGCACCATTTCCTGCAGAGTTGATACAGAGCAGCATATATTTAAAGTTTACATATGCCCTACCAGACAAAATTTCAACATGGGTCTACAAATATTGTAAATTATAAGATAATTTGTTCATTTGTGACTCCCAAGGGTGATGGCTGTTCATTTAATATTTAAAATATCTGTGCTTATACCGGGTTAGTTTTTTGAAATGCAAATCATTTTTAAAGTTGATACATAATATCATTTTTGTTGTCCTATAGGAATAACTAGGATTTTATATTAACTTGACTCATTTTTTTTTTTACATATGGGAGTATATCTAACTAAATGCATAGTTTTAAAGTGAGATTCTAAAATATTTCCACAAAATATACTTTCCTAGGGATTTGAACAAAATAGATGATTTGATGCAAGAAATCACAGAGCAGCAGGATGTCGCCCAAGAAATCTCCGAGGCATTTTCTCAGCACACTGGATTCGGCGAGGACTTCGATGAGGTGGGCAGCGCGTGGAGGATGGAGCGCGTGGCTGCTGGGCAGGGCAGCTCCCACCGTCCACAGCAGACGGGGCGCCTTAAATACTTCCTTAAGTCTCATCGAAGAATAAGTGGTACTTGATAGAAACCTACTTAAGAGGGAAATGAAGTGTTGGTAGCTCTGATTTAAAGGAAAGATTAATAGAGTTTGGCAGACGGCCCCCATTAAGTTTCTAGCTGTTAAGGAAGAACAGCCTGTGATTATGTGAAGTTAGAGACTCAGTGGCGGTGCTTCAATAGCCCATTAGGGGAGGAATGGCGCTTGCACATCTGGGCGGAACAGAGCAGACGCCGTTCTGTGAGGCAGACAGCGCGCGGTGTGGCTGGGACATGGGAGGTGAGCTCGCCTCCCTTCGCTCCTCGGGCTGTGAAACGCATGAACGTGAACGGGCATTAAGAGCACACGTTCCATTTGGACTCATCAGCGAAGTGAGACTGACTCCCAGGAGGAAGGGGCTGTGCTGGGAACGCCCCTGGTTCTGTTCCAGCATGCACACCAGCTCAGATCTGGAACCGTCTCCCATTCTCAGAGTAGCACAGCAAGGACCCTACTTCCTACATCTCCCTGGTTTAAAAACGAAGCACATGGTAAGAGGTGTGGTTCCACGGGACCGAGAGAAACGTTGGGGAAACTTGGCTTTCAGGCCAGATCCTTCCCACGGCCTGAGCTGGTGTGACCCGGCACCGAGGGTGGTTTTGCCTGTTTAAGGATGGCAGGAAGCCAGCACCACCAGAACAGCAGGGCTGAGAGGCTGCCGCAGAGACCACGGCGGCCCGCGGAGCCTCGCCTCGGCTGTGTGGCTCTTGGAGAGAGTGTGCCCGCCCTGGGGAGACGAACAGGCCTCCTCAGGCTGGGGCTCATGACGCTGGGGCTCTTACATTTGTTACTACACCTTTCATCCATGAAGGGACACGTGGCGGCACCTGCCGTCTGGGAATGAGGGAGGAGGTGATGATTCTGTCATCCCATTTGCTAAGGAAAATGTCAATTTCTTGGTGGTGCCGTAGCTACCTGCCGAGCGCGGTAGGCGATTCTGGGCACGGACTCCGGGTGGCATAATGTGTTCTGCTGTGACCGCATTTGCTATATTTGCTCCTGATTGCTTTGTGAGCAGAAATGGGACGTGAGCGTGTTCATTCCGAAGGCACTCTATTCACACTGCCTGTGGAGAGCCACAAACCACCCGCTCCACTGACCACCCCACCCCACACTTTCCTGCTTCGTTTCCTCTCCACGAGGACATTCCACAGCGGTCAGCTTGCTTCCTGTCTGATACACATCGTCATTACCAAGTGTTGTGGTTGCCTTAAGTATCTCCTCTGTGGCCCCTGGTATTATCCCTTGCACTTCAATGCAGGATAATTATTTGTTTATGTGCCTTTCTCCCACATTTAATAATAAGCTCCTTCAAGGTCGGAACTCTTGGTTGAACTTTGCATCCCCAGCTATGAGTTCAATATCCAGCCAGGAGTAGCTCGCAATCAGTTTGTTCAATGATGAACGAATGAGGAAATGAAGACTTTCTTTGGTTGGATATGAGAGTGTCTTAGGTCATTTCTAATGGGGACAAGCTCAGAATTCTAACGGGGACAAATTAATTTAGTCTCTCAGCCTCTCAGGGGCTGGGTCTGCCTGAGGTCCCGGGAGCCAGGTGACCTGGCCAATCACAAGTCACCTCCTAGCTGACGTAGGTGACTTACACTCACAGTCTCCCAACGGTCTTGCGAATTGAAGGTTCTTGGGACAGAGAGTGGCTTAGGATCGAACTGGCCGCTCTGAGACTATTGCTAAGAGAAAGAAATACGGGGCACCTACCTTGGGATGATGTTTCCTTAACTCAAACACCTATCGGCTTTAGTAATTTAACAAAGGAATCATAATACCCTTGATTCTTTTTACCTTCTGCACGTTCTGCTTTTGCTATACCTGTTGCTTATTTGTAATAACATTAACCCAAATGAAAGGTTTCACAAATTCTTAATTTTTCACAGTAGAAAGGAAAAGCTGCATTGGAAATGGGCAGGCAAGGTGTAAACTCCCTGGGAACAGTGGAGGCTTTATATTCCGGCTGCACAAATTACTTGCATAACAGTTTGCTGAAGTATTGTAAGATTAGCTACGACAAATTTGCACAAGCCAAAATATTCATTTTTTAATCATTGCTCAGTGTTGCAAAAGAGACTTAGTCTTCAAATAAATATTCCGTTTCACTGGGCTCTCACATATCAATTGGGTAGCAGATGTTCTTGTTATTGTGTTTGAGGAAACCCACTGCTTGAAACGCAAACTCCATAATTCTTTCTTCCCCCTGTGCTCAGGATGAGCTGATGGCGGAACTGGAAGAACTGGAGCAGGAAGAATTAAATAAGAAGATGACAAATATCCGGCTTCCGAATGTGCCTTCCACCTCCCTCCCAGCTCAGCCAGACAGAACGCCCGGCTCCTTGGGCCCGGCCACGAGGCCCCGAGCAGGTGTGTCCCCACCTCCACGACCTAAAATAGGAGCCTGACCCATACCCCCGTCAGCGCTTACCTTTATTCCCTAAGTATACTCCTTGTATACATAACTCACACCTGTTTTCTATGCCAACGTGTGAATGTCACCGATTACTAACTTGCATCTGCTTTCTGTCCCAGCACCTTCCCGGCGGGCAGGCGGAGAGGACGAGGACCTCCAGCACCTGGCAGCGTGGGCCTCCTAACTGGGAGGGAGCTGTTTTGACGCCTAAATCAACGAGCTGTACATAAGACATAAAAAATATTTTTGCCAAGTTCAGAAGTGAGCAGAGGCCCTGTTTTATATTTATGGATGATGGCTGTCTGTCAGCCTCACGCGTAAAAGTAAAAGAAGGGAGTGGGGTCAGAGGGGGCTGCCCAGGGCACCGAGGAAGACCTTGCACGAGGGGGGCCCCTGCCTGCTCCCCACTGAACCCCAGGCCTGGGACACACCAGTGCTCGCTCTGTATCTGTGGACAGGAAACGGAAGTCTGTTCTCATATCAAACACAGAACCGTTTAAAAGCCCCTGAGGAGCGAGGTGGCTGGCGGAGCTGGGGAAGTGACTTCTGTTCTGTGGGCCCATGTCGTGGGCTGTGGTGCCATGGAAGGGGCAAAGGCGCCCCGGAGAGGCTGCACGTGGGGACGACCTGGCGAGTCTACCACACAGTTTCACTGGAGTTCGGCCGTTTGAAATCTTAAAGGATCGTTAATTGACATTTATTCCGCCAATGAAGCTGGGGAGGGGCCACGGATGCAGATCCCGAATGTCTAAAAGCGCGAATAGCTCCCACTGCCCACTGACTCTCTCGCTGTGACTCAGGCACCCAGGTAGCTGCTGATTCCCCACAGCGATGCCGCGGAGCGTGCAAGTGTTCACGCTCGTCTGCCCTGTGCTCTGCACATTAATTTACACTGCAGCCTTTTCTTGTAAATACATTAAAAATATAGGCATTTTAAAGTGTATCTTGAATGACATTTTGGCCTTTGTTATTATTATTACTAGAGGCCTAGTGCATGAAATTTGTGCACTGGGTGGGGGGAGTCCCTCAGCCTGGCCTGCACCCTCTCGCAGTCGGGGACCCCCCAGGGGATGTCTGCCTGCCGGCTTAGGCCAGCCATCAGACATCCCTCTCGCAGTCTGGGACCCCTTGCTCCTTACTGCCCATCTGCTTTTGCTGCTCCTTACTGCTCAGGTCACTGCTCCTTAGTGCTGCTGTGGAGGCAGGAGAAGCTCCCACCACTGCTGCTGAGCTCACCAGCTGTGGCTTCTGGCTGAGCAGTGCTCCCCCTGTGGGAGTGCACTGACCACCAGGGGCAGCTTCTGCGTTGAGTGTCTGCCCCCTGGTGGTCAGTGTGCATCATAGCGACTGGTCGTTCTGGTCCTTCCACCGTAACAGTCGCTTAGGCTTTTATTATGTAGATTTTTAACCCTCACTCAAGGATATTTTTCCATTGATTTTTAGAGAGAGTGGAAGAGAGAGGGAAAGACAGAGAGAAATATTGATGTGAGAGAAACACATTGATTGGTTGCCTCCTGCCCAAGCCCCGACCAGGTCCCAGGCCGGGGAGGAGCCCGCTACCGCTGTACGTGCCCTTGACTGGAATCGAACCTGGGACCCTTCGGTCTGCAAGCCGGCACTCTATCCACATAACCAAACCGGCCAGGGCTGGCCGTAATTATTTTTAAATAAAAATATGTTGCAAAATTATGTATTGCTCAGACTATGTCCCGGACCATAAAATGACAATGTCATTATATAGGGTGTTCCCAGCATGTGCTTAGCAGCACAGTGAAATGGAGAGAGCTGGGCCTGCAGGTGGGGTCCTGATTCCAGCGCCTGCCCTGCCACTCGCACCTTCGAGGACCGGGCCTCTGTCTTTGTTGGGAAACCTAAGGCCTGCACGCGATGATCTCTGAGGTTCAGTCCTGCCACAGGCCGTCTGCATATGCAGTTCTTCATGGCAGTCTTCTCACTCGACAGCACAGGTACCAAACCTGACCTGAAATGCCCATTAATGGGGACATTTTTCTTGATGGCACAGACTAAATCAGGTCTCCCTGCTACAGTGTCCACGGCACTTTGCTTTCTTGCCTATCGCCTGTCAGGGTTCCCGTTGTATCTTTACTTGAACTATTACGCAGTTATCGCTCTTCCTCCCCGAGGTCTGGTGACCACGAGGCCGAGCTGCCTCTCTCAGCTCAATGGGGCCTCCCCAGCAGAGCTCCTCGCAGGCAGGAGGCATCGGTAAGCATTTAGTGAAGGAACAGAGAGCAGGTTTTTACACCTTCTGGGCCATCACAGGAACTTGAGTGACCTTCTACCTTCAAAACTGGACAAAGCACAGGAAACAGCAGTTTCCAGACATTGGACAACAGGCATCGCTAGACTGATTCCTGAGAGAGAAACTGGTGAGGGGTCCTCAGTGCCGCAGGTGCCTTAAAGGGAGGGGAGCCCGAGAGCTTGGAGGTCTGAGGGAGGGAGGAAAGGAGGAAGAGAGAGAGAGAGAGAGAGAGAGCGAGCACACTCTGGCGACCAGATGGGCAGAGGGTCCCTGCGAGTGGGGCTGGGCACTGACCTGCGTCCATGGAGTAAGAAGTGACTGAGGCGCACAGGAACCACTGGAAGAAGTAGCAGGTCCCTCCCAGAGCTCACACAGCCTGGGGACAGTTTGCGTTCCCACAGCCTCGGTGGAGAGACCCCCTAATCCGGGGGCATCAGGCTGAGCCCTCAGGAGGGCGTGGCTCACTAGTGAGGTCCAATTGTGCCCAGGCCAAAGGCTGCTCTGGGCCCACCCTGAACGACTAAAAGCAAATGTCAAAAGAATGAAATGATTCCAAGTCCCCTAACGCATCCCAGGACAAACCCCCCGAGACTTAAAGGAATATATAAAAGCTGGCAAGTAACAAGAACAAAACAACTAAAATAAAACCCTGGCACCCAAATCTCTGAGTTTCAGAGACAGAATAAAAAGAACATGGGCTGTCTCATTAACACTCCCATAATGCTTCACGTTGAAATATTATTTTAGATGTATTGGGTTACATAAACTATTCAAATTTATCTCAGCTGTTTCTTTTGCCCTTTTAGACTGTGGCTATTTGGAAATGAAGCATTGCATGTATGGCTCACATTATATTTCTGTTGGTTAGCCTTGGGCAAGAAGATAGAGTCCTCATTATCGATGAGTGCACAGATAATTTGAAGTACTAAAATGACAAATTGTTAAAAATAAAGAAAATTTTTCAAAAGGTGACATCTTATTTTGAAAAGAAAAATGTTTTGAAATAAAATCATAATATTGCATTTCTGTTGGCAGTAAAGAGAGTGAAACACAAGAGAGAAAAGGTGTAAAAGTAAATCATCCTTAGATGGAAGAGTATGAAAAATAATAAAGGTGTTAATCTGACACCTAAAGGTGTTCCAGCAAGGCAGCCCTAGCACAGAAGGGCTCTTGTACATTCTGGGAGGTTTGCTATCGATTGGTCTCAGTGCATCACAAGGTACCTCAGGGCAATGCTGAGTAGGTACTCTGTTGTATTTTGTATTTTTAAATAAATGTCTTCCAATATATCAGTTGGGTTCTTCTATTCTTTTTGGCTGTATGATACACATTCCGGATAACTTGAGCGACAGACTTGGATTTCTTGGAAGTTACTTGGAAATGCATAAAATGCAAATCAGACCAGAGGCTCTGGAGCTCATGGGAGCCAGATCCCAGGACTCCACCCTCTGAGAGCCAGCCAACTGTCGGGAAAAGTGAGCAAGATGTTATTCTGCTCCAGAGTCTAGGTCTAGAGCCAGAATATTTGATTGGCCAAGCTTGGCTCTGGAGTCAGCCATCTGGACGCTCATGAATGAGAAGCAGGGAGGCAGGTTTGCTAAAGCATAATCCAGGCATCCGGCCTGAAGAAGTGGGGGTGGATGCTGGCCACCTCACACCTGACAACTCCACCCCAAACAATAGGTGTCCACTCCACACTGAGAATAATGAAGGCAGAACTGCAGCTTTTTCTCATTCTTGGCAAACAGAGTCTGAGCACTGGTTTACTTAGTAGAAATTGGAGTAGCAAATCCTTTATACAACACAACGGTAGGTGTCTTGTGAAAACAAACTGGATAATGTATCTAAGTTAGCAATCCAAACAAGAAGAAGAAGACAAAAAAAGGAAAAACCCAGAGAAGCTGAGACTAATGAAGATATCTCGGTGCCCTTACAGGACGGCCCTAGGGAACAACTTTATGAAATCTTAGTCGATTTCAATTTCATCTTCCCACATCCTTCCTCTGTTCCCTTAATTTAAGATAGATATTAACATTTGTGCTGGAGGAAGCATTTCTTAAAAGAGCTAAAAGTCCTCTTCGGACTTCAAATTCACTTTGCATAATTTGTTTTCTGGCTTACAGGAAGTTTTACTGCACTACGTAAAAGACATGTGGGCTGTTTTTCAGAAGAAAATGACTTATATACATTAAGGGAGTACAGATAAGGCAGAGCAGTGAAGTTATTTAGAAGAGAGATGTCTAAACACTCAGCAGTAGGCAACACCTCTGATGATGAATGTTTCTTCTGGAAATGCCTCGTATTCACAGGGCTATCGAGGTTATATACACACTGTTCTTTAGGGTATCAGGAGGCTTCCTGTCAGCAGGAAAAACATTCCAATCCAGACCTCTCTGAAAAGGTGGCATGTATGTGGTTGATTGTTTTTACATATGAATATATCTATAATCACATCAAGTGTGTGTATACTTATGTACAAGTTATACATACTCTTGATATTAATACCTGTCATGTACTCTTTGGAAAATTTGCTACTCATTGCCCTCCATGACATCCCTGTATTTCCATAATCCCAACTCTTTTTTTCTTTTTAGATGACTCAGTCTTCTTCCTTCCTCACAAATGTCAATCTTTTCTTTTTTAATCTTTATTGTGAAAGTATTACATATGTCCCCCTTTTCCCCCAATGACCTCTTCTAGCCTGCCCTGCTCCCCTCCACCCAGGCCTTTACCACCCTATGTCTGTGTCCATGGGTTATGCATATCCTTCCCTCTGAGATTCCACAGTCTGTTCCATGCTACAAATGTGATTCTTTTCCACATTCTCCATAATTTAGTTATTTGCTGTCTCATCCATCTACATTCTTCATAGACCTTATTTTATTTTATTATTTTTTAAAATTCTTTATTAGTTAAGGTATTACAAATGTGTCCTTATCCCCCCCCACTAACCCCCCCACTCATGTTCATAGACCTTATTTTAAATTACAGCTTTAACTATCACTTTTATGGGAATGAAGTTCATATATAAATGTATTCATTCGGTCAACCAATATCTACTAAATATTATTTTCTGAGCTCTGAGCTAGTGTGGGGATTGAAGTTTAATAAAAAATGGTATATTTCTATTCATGGTCTCTATCCCAGGCTCCAGTCAACTGGAAGTTAGAGGTTTTCTCTAGTTTTCCTATCATTTCAATAGCAACATGTTTGTCTTAAAGTCCGTTTTGTCTAGTATTGGTATAGTCACTCCTACTGTCTTTTGTTTAAAATTTGCCTGAAGTATCTTTCTCTTTTTTAAAATTTTCAGTTTGACTCTGTGCTTGACTCTAAAGGTAGTCTTTTGTTAACAGCATGTAATTGGTATTGCTTTTTAAAATCCATTCATCAAACTCTTCCTTTTAATTGGCGAGTTTAATCATTAACATTTAATGTAGTTACTGTATCTGTCATTTTGCTTTTTGTTTTCTATATGTTTTATGTCTGTTTTCCCCTCAATTCCTCCATTATGTACTTCCTTAAGGAAGTTAATAAATAAATGTTAAATATGTCCTAGTGTAACATTTTAATTTCCTTGTAGTTTCTTTTAAAATATACTTTTGAGTTACTTTCTTAGTGATTTCCTTGAGAATTACAAATACCACCTTAATTTATAACAAATTAATTCAGATTAATACAAATTTATTT